TACCAGGAAGGACCAAGTCCTGGAGAAGGACATCGTGCTTGGTAAAGTAGGGTCAGAGAAAAAGAGGAAAATCTTTAAGATGGATTGACACAGTGGCTGCAACAAAGGGCTCAAACAAAGCAACAATTGTGAGGATGGTGCAAGACCCAGCAATGTTTGGTTCTGTTGTACACAGGGTCCCTATGTGTGTGAATAGACTTAACAGCACCTAACAAGAAGTCAGTTTGTCAAAAAGAGCTCAGGTTTAAGTTGCTCTGATCAACTCTTTAAGGACAGCACTTATGGAAGGGTGTCAGTAACACTGTTGCACATCACCTTAGAGTTTGCAAAGTATAAATTGCATGTGTTAATTCTTTTAATTTGTAGCCACTCAGTGGGAAGTCTTACCATCTCCATCTTATCAAAATGAGAATCAAGGCTCTAAGAGGTTTAGGGAAATGCCTATGATCAGACAACTCATAACTGGGTGGAGCAAGAGATTTTAATCTAGGTCATTGTGCTGAAATGTTCAGCTTCTCCCTCTTCTCTACCATAGCTGGTGGGTTCCAACACTGATCTTTCGATTAGCAACTGAATGCTTTGACCACTGCACCACCTTAGAAACCCTATGGGTAGTTCTACTCTGTCTTCTAGCATCACTATGAGTCAGAATCCACTCAACAGCAACAGAAGGTTTTGTTTGTTTGTTTTTGCAGTGAATATAGGGTACTTTCCTATAGGTAGAATTAGGTTTTCTTATCAATGAACTTCATATTCTTAGGTATTCAATTTTATATAAGTAAATCAACAAATTTGAGTTAGGAGAGTTGTCTATGTATAATAGTAACAGTAGGAAAACATGTATTTCATGTCGTATATATTCTGTACTATGTATTATACCTTACATATATTATCACATTAATCTTCACAATAGTCCATTTTGTGGATGAAGAAACCAAGACAGAGAAGATTTAGACAGTTCTAAAGGTAGAGTTTGAATTTAGGTTCCTAATCTGAATCTACATTCTTAATTACTTTACGATAGTGTGTTTTGTCACATTAAGTTCTACAACTCAAACTCAATGCAAAGCAAATAAAATAGCATAACGAGTATGGATAAAGTCTTACATAAATGATTTCTCTGAAATAGGCTTTATAAAATTTATGGGAATAACCATAAACACTAAAAATATTTATAAGAACATTTATTCATTGCCTAGACATTTAACTCACAGAAAGCTTGCCAAAATATATGGCTAAGTACCCTCCTTCACAGAATTTAAATATCACACAAATTATTTCAGTTGTCATAAATGAGTGATGAATTATTTTTCACTGTTTTGTTTCTACATGCTGTTGAACTCGGGGAGTTTGGCAGTATTTGGGACGGTGGAAGAGAGCTGGAAGCGACAAAGTTGGGAGCAATGACTTGTGATTTGTCTTGGGTTTACCTGCCTGTTATGGACATGATTCTGAAGCTATTCCTATTTCTCAGTAAACATCATTTATAAGTGATGGTGAGAAAACTACTCAAAGATATCACTCAAAACATTCAGGGTAGACATTGCAATGAATACAAACCATGTTCAAATTGTTATAGTCGAATCCACAAATGATAAATAACACATTACTGCAGATGTGATTCAACATCTCACGGGTACACACTTCAGTGGCAAGAAATTCATCAAAAAAGTGGTGTGGGTAGAATATTTTGTTACCAAAAATAATCTGAAAAATAAACACATCATTAGAGGTTTGCAGCAATCAACCCACAGAAGACTCAATTTAACTAATCTACTTGTACAGGAGTGATTAGAGTGATGATATTTTCTTATTTCTACATGTTGTTTTAGGAATTCAAGTACTTCTCTCATTTAATTCCCACAACCATGTTGTGAAATGGGCAGATATCACTATTGATTATTATTTCATTCCATACCATACTGGCTGCTGAGAAGAAGTAGAAGATACAAAGTGTTACAGTCTAGTTGGGGTATTAAGCTCATGGAATAAAACCTTTTCTCCTATTCCCTTCCCTTATCTTCCTATCCATTTTCTTCCCAGTTTATGTGGCTCAGGTGGTTTAGATATCTTTGCTTAACTACTTTTGGATTTTGGTTTTGGTTTTCCTTCTCCCCTCCAGGAATAGAGTCACAGCTTTGCTGTTTCTGAGTAAGGTGCTTGGTAATTGAAACATTTATGAAGGAGCAAAAATACTCCCAGGCCTTGCTATCTCATAAAAGGTAATCAAGAATAATGACATACATGGGGATCTTATAGGCTACAGTGGAGATTTAAACATGCTAATAAATAAAATAAAAGTTTGCATTTCTATTTTTGGATACAAACAAACGATTGCCCACTAGGTTTTTTGTTGGATTTGTTCTCATCACTTTGAAATCCATGGACAATTGTGTATCTTAGATTTAAGTTAATAAAAGAGAATTATATACCTTGAAGAGGAATGTTGGAATAAGTGCAAGCTTGTTTAAAAGGCTTTTGGTATACTTCACAGTGGCAACTGGAGCTAGTGCATGAAAGGTTTTGATTCTTTTAGCCAGTTTGGGATTGGTAGAAAAGGCGATAAAACCTGAAAGAGAACAAGGAACCAGTTTAGAAGCTGTAAACACAGCTTGTTATTGGCTTTTGTCGTTGATGTTTTCTTTTAACACAGTATTTGGCACATGGTAAATGCCTGATAAATGACTAGCCAAGAGAATTCAAACATCTACAGACAACAAATGTATTTAGTTCTGTCTTTAACTGTTTTCCAAGCAGTAGCATGTTACATTGGAATGTGATCAAATAGTAAGTTAAATTCTTTACAATTTAATTACACAGGAAAATCCCACCACATTGCTTATAATGATACATCTGAGCTATGTTATTCATTACCTACTATTTATTACTTTGCACAAATTATTCATCTCCCCCAATCCCCCGCTTTGTCATTATTTTATTGAGTTGTGTAGAGACTAAATTATATAATGGATAGAAAGCACTTAGCATGGTACTAGCATGCTTATTATAACAGACTAAACTACCTGGTTTTGACTGCCTTTACATACCAATGGTGGTCCCCTGGGAATGACCAATATAATGTAGCTTCTCCTGTCCAGTATTCTTTACAACAAAGTTGATTGTGGATGGAAGGTCATATTTAGCCATTTCATCAAAACTGCAATAATAATAATAGAGGCAAAATAAAACTGAATACATATCCTTGCTATAGTTTCTAATATGCAGACATATTGATAGCTAAAGTTTCCTTTGAGGAATAGAAAGCTAGTTTCTCTAAGCATTTTGACTCATAAAACATTAATGACCATGAGATGCCTTTTGGGGTGGCTTCTTATGCACAATGACATCATTCCTGAAGCCCAGCAACACAACTGCAATCTAATCCATATAAGATAGTATCTATATGTGGGGGATTTTCTATCCCTGAAACTGTATATCAGATTTAATTATCATTTATATGCTATGTTCCAGTGCCATTTAATATGAACTCTTTCTCTATTTCATTTCTCACAAATCATCCAGAATGATCTTTTAAAAATGAAAATTAAAGCTGTCACTTCGCTGTTTAAAAACTTCCCAGTAGCTTCTCATTGTACCTAGAAGGAGTTCTAAGGTTCTCTCGAGGCCCGCTCAGTGTGGCCTGATTTGGTCCTTTCCTGCATCTCCAGTCTTACCTTAGTCACCCCTTCTTTCCTTATTATGCTCCAGACACACAGGCTTCCTTTCAGTTCCCAGAACTCTGGAAACAATCTTGTGCCTGAGCATCAACAGCCTAACTTGCTCCCATCTTTCACCTCCAACTGTAATTTTCAGTAATAAGGAAGAGATCCAGTGAAAGAAAACAGAAAGGAAGCCTTTGATAATCTCTCCAGCATGTACAAATTTCATTCTTCCCCCCTCTTATGGATTATGACTCAGGTGGCTGATCCTCTACTCTTCAAATAGGTTTTAACATCATCTCAAATGTGTACAGGTGATTCTTTGAGAATCTGAAGTGGGCACAGAATTTTCTTGCTTCAGCCATATTGTTCATTCCATTTGGAAAACCATATACAGTGACCCCCTCGTAGTTAGCACTGATCAAAAAGTTTGAAGGAAAAGCTACCCACGGAATAACCAAAAAAATTTTACTGCAGTTGAGTCAAATCTGACTCATGGCGACCCCCCTTTGGGTTTCCAAGGTGGTATCACTACGGAAGTCGATTGCCCAACCTTCCTTCCCAGGAGTGGCTGATGGGTTTGAACCGCCAGACTTTGGTTAGCAGTCAAATGCCTTAGGCACTATGCCACCAATTGTTGTTGTTGTTGTTGTTATGTGCCGTCGAGTCGAGGTGGCATAGAAAACCCAAGAAGGAATTAAAAGAAAAATGACTTTCTTCTTCTGGTTTTTAGAGTATAATTTGTCATTGTGGGCAAGAAAATACCCAGCTATTATTAAAGTCCAATACATATTTTTAAGTGCCTATTTTTAATGGGTTGTCTTCTTTACCTGAAAGCCCAGAATTCAACCGAGTCTGGTGAGTAGTATAAATTTCTCCTGGCCCAGATGTTTCCTCTGCTATTCCCCAGCCACACATCATAACCAGCATCTGCTAGAAGGAAGGCCAGGCTGTTGTTGGGCAGATTTGAAATCCAGTTTGTGGCTGATGTGAGCAAACCATGCTGCAAAAGCACAAGAGGCCTCTGACCTAAAGAAAGCAAATTTTAAAATATTACAAACCTACTCCATAACATCTATGTAGAAAAATATCTGATAGAATAGGAGCAGCAAGGAGGATAAAATATCTTTTATTCTAAGAAAAACATGACGATAGAAGAACCTTACATATGACTAGACATTAAATAAGTTCATCTGATTAAGGTGAGTAATTTTGAATAGCTTAACTTGATTATGGTAAGCTAACATAAAGGGTGGGAGATAGAACCCACAAGCTTCTCTGTGGGAGGAAGATATAGCAGTCTGCTTCTGTAAAGATTTACACCCTTAGAAAACCTATGGGCAGTTCTACTCTGTCTGACGGAGTTGCTATGTGTGAGTCAGAATCAACTTGACACACAACAACAACGCCAAAAATGACCAAATTTTCCACTTTAAATATGCAATTAAAAAAAAAAAAAGTTTACTGTATGCCAATTATACCTCAATTGTTGTTAAGTGCCATTGAGTCGACCCCATGTGACAGAGTAGAACTGCCACATAGGAGTGTCTAGGCTGTAATCTAAAGCTTTGAGAAAATTATATTCTAAGGAAATACACCAATATGTTAAGTATACTCTAGGGGTAAAAGTATAGAGGGTTTTCTTTTCCTTCTTCTTTTTTATTCTTTTAGTACCTTATAATTTTTCTATAATGAGAAAAGGGTAAATTTGTATAAATCTGCTGCCATAGAGTCAGGGCTGACTCACAGTGACCCCTCCTTGGGTTTCCAAGGCGATATCACTACAGAAGTAGATTGCCCAACCTCCCTTCCGGGGAGTGGCTGGTGGGTTTGAACCACCAGCCTTCTGGTTAGCAGTCAGAGGCCTTCAAAAAATGCTTTTATCTGTTTAGGAAATGAGCTCTAAATTGTCTCCCTCTCTACCCTCTGCAACATACACCCTGGGTAAATTTTTCTCATCCTCTAAGACTGAGCTCCAGTATTATCTCTGAGAGAAAGGTTTCATTGACTTTTCCAAGTTGGGTTAGGTACTCTCATTAGGGTTCCCAGTTTAATATCTTGTGTATAGTTCTAAAATGGGACTTAATACATTGTATAATAATCTTCTGTTTATTTATGAATCTTAGACTACATGTTGTGCTTCCAGAGGTCTGGAATTATAACTTAATCTTTATTTTCTGACTCATTAAATCATTAGGGAGAAATAAAAGGAGAAAAGAAGGAAGAGAAAAAAGGAAGGAAGGGAGGGAGGTAAAAATAAGGCAGATAGGGAAGGAGAGACGAAGAAAGAGGAGAAGGGAAGACGTTTCTACCTCTATTCTTTGAATTTTTCTTTCCATAAGGAATTCTGTTGATCCCAAGGATATAACCATCTTCAGTCACAACTTCATATTCTTCACTTGGGTATCCCCAGTAGGAAATTATTTGACTCTGATGAAGGAAATACAAAGCTTTAAGTTTTAGGTGACTTTTAAAAATGAATCTAGTAGGTAGATGTTATTCATTATTTTTTAGTTAGCTATGTTTGAGCTTAAACCCACCACAGTTCTAAAGTATGGTCATAACACTTGGTTTTGCAGCTCCCCTCCTATAACTTACAATATTCATAGTCACTTCAGGGCTTTCGGGTGTTAGTTTTCCAAAGAAACCATGTGTAGTTCCAAGTGTACTTATCAAACTTGCCACTGTTAAAAGCAACCACATTTTGGAACTGCCTAAAACAAAAACATTAATAATAATAATAATAAAGACATGTAACAATTGGTCTCTCTTCATCCAGTGCAAAGAAGAATGAAGAATATCAAAGACTCATGCAAACAGTTAGTCCAAGGAATCAGTGGACTATGCAAACCTCAGCCTATATGACCCTGAGACCAGAAAAACTAGAGGGTGTCCAGTTATCACATTCAACCACCAAAAAGGGATCAATGCAGGAGATCCTGGAAAAAGTGGGAGAAAAACACAGAACAAAACTCAAAATCATAGAAAATACCAGGCTTACTGGACTGATAGAGACTGGAAAAACTCCTAAGACTATGACCCTTAGTCACCCTTTGGGCCTTGAATTGGACTCACTCCCATGGCCCTAGCCAAACAATAGAGAGGCATATAAGATGAAAATTTACACCAGCTAGGTACACTCCTTAGAACAATCAACCATGGGAGATCAGAATGTAATATATGCACAAGGAGATAGCTCCGAGGGCAGGAATGCACAGGAAAGAAGGACCCAGGGGAAAGGTAACCACAGGGAAGATGCGGAAAGAGAGCTGTTACATTATGGGGATTGCAATCAATGTCATAAAACAAAATATGCATGAGTTGTCGTATGGAAGATGAATTTGCTCTGTAAACTTTCACCACCATCACCTAAAACAAACAAACAAACAAACAAACAAAACATGCCCCATGGTTAACCCAGGCACTTTCATAATACTTGTATTTTGTGTCAATTTACCTTCACACAAAGTAGAGAAATGCTTGTGTTGGATTATATTTTGTTGGACAATAATGTAGGATGTGTGGGCATTGGCACAGTCATTTTAATACTTATTCTCATGCTATTTTCTTTGTTTAAGAACATTGCACACTAGATTTTCAAGTCATAGTGAAGGGAAAAAAGTGGGACAGGAAGGATGGGGAACTGGCATTTTATTTCCCTACATTTACTCTCAAATAATGTGTATTGGAACCTATTATAATATTTTTAATATTGTTTATAATGACCACTCTGTAAATATTTATTGCTTTGAGGGAATTAAGGAGCTCTAGTGGCATAGTGCTTAAGGCATTTGACTGCTTACCAGAAGGCTGGTGGTTCAAACCCACCAGCCACTCCTGGGAAGGAAGGTTGGGCAATCTACCGTAGTGATATCACCTCCAAAAAGGAGGGGTTGCTATGAGTCAGTTCTGACTTGAAGGCAGTGAGTTTGGTTTTTAGTTTTTGAGGTAATTATGTGGATTGAAAAACCACCACCACTTTCTCAAAATGTTGCCGTAACCAGCGTAATGTGTGAATATGATTTCAGGAAGATTATTGTTCTTTTGCTTTTTTGCTTAGATATTATCTAGTTCAAATTACTTAGGCAGACTTGATATTTATAAGTATGTAAACCCATGGATGGTATAATATCTTTTCCCCAAGGGTTTAGCAATAAAAAGGAAAAAACATATCATTAATTGAAAAAGACCCCAGGGATTTTCTAGTTCAACCCATTCATATTTTCCAGGTGAGAAGTAACAATTCACTTCTTAGAGAATTTAATGATAATTCCAAGCAGACTGAATTAGTTCTATTGTTTCAATGATCAGTCTCTCACATAATTGTTTTGGCAAATTTTTGGCTACTCATAAAATGATATATTGTGTTATAGGCCAAGTGATCAGTGAAAAAATGTGCTTATTATAAAATAAATGAATTATCTTTAGATTGAAAGTAGCCTCATTGATGAGCCTATTGGGTTCCATCATTCATAAAAGCTAAATGGTTTAAACTGGATTTTTCATCTTAAAATTCATCAGGCTTGCTTGTCAATGTGTGGTCCTTGGGTAAATGGTCACCATTTTCTCTTGGCCAACAGCCAGGAATTTGATGTGCACTCAAACTCATTAGACTTGAACTAGCTCACCTTTCAATTTTTATATTTGGATTGATGTTTCAATTTATAAACTTTTTATGAATTATTATTTTGACAGGAGTCAACCTTTCTGATCTTGGGATGCCAATTTTCACTCGTTTCTCAAGCCTTAAGCAGGATTTACCCTCAAATATTTGAACGGATGTCATGGGGAAGATGTTTTCAAATAAATTTATTCTTAGTATGCCAGAAATAAACTGTTCAATAAATATTTATTGAGAATTTACTATATCCTAGGAGGAGTATTTGAGGTTGACATGTTGAAAGGGTTAAACTATGTATAATGAAGAACTAAAATTTGCATTGGCAAATTCAAATGGGATTCTTTGAAAAATGATGACTTCTGAAAATATGCTTACAAGGCTGCATAACTGTCATAATTCACATAGAACAGTTAATATATATAGTTCCTGACTGAGAGGATGTCAGACTAAAACTCTCAAATCTGATTCTTGATTTAACACTTTGACCATTTTCTTGGCAAATAATTAAATTTAATGGTGTTTCTTACAAATAGTTTTTTAACTAAATCGTGTCTTCACAATGATACATTTTTAAGAAGGGACACGTTAGTACTTAAAGACCAACTATTAGTACTTAATAGTGTTTTATCAAGAAAGTTTGATAGAGATTTCACAAAGCTGTATTTTTGTTCCTTCTATTGTCACCATTATAAGTAATTTTCCAGGGTAAAATGAGGACATTTAACCTATGACTTAAGTTCTAGGACATCCCAGTCACCCAGTCATAGACATGGGCTCAAAGATGTTTAAGGGAGGAAAAACTGTTCTCATGGTGTCTGATACCAAGTTCTAGCGAATAGCAGTGACCAAAAGTTACAGAAAGGTCACTGTGCTGGGAACTATGATCACTGCATCATGTGTGCAAGTGAGTTACTCTCCCTATGATGCTTTCCTCATGCACTAATAGTGCATGTCCAGGAGTTGTTATGAGTAGTCATTAAAATAATGAAAGTGAAGTTCTTAATAACATGGCAGGTACATGCCAAAAACTTAATAAATACACATATTATCACTATTATTGCCTTCTCATAGCAACTCTATGAAGAAGGTGGTATTATATTCCTCATTTTACAGATAAGCAAGCCAAGGCTTAGAGAAGCTAAGCATCTGCCCGATGATGCATGCAGAAAGCAGCAGAGTCCATACTTGAAACACAACAGTCTGATTCTAAAGCCTGTATTATTTTGTACTGTATGCTTCCTTAGGATGATCCTAGGCCAGCTTCTGTAAGGAACTACTTGGGATATCACCAGACAGATTTATATAATTTGGTCCAAACTTTTGTTTTGAAGGATTATAATTAGAAGAAACAGATTAGAATATGAAGTTTCACAGTAGCATATACTGAACTTAATTCAACTACAGTTGATTTGGATGGGATGAAATTGTGCAATCAATACATCAATACCACCAATTCACATGATGCTAGAAGTTTGGCTTATTGCTTCTTAAAAAGGAGAAATAGAGAGACTACACCATCAGCTTTCACATTAGGTAGTTGTTACAAAATATTTTTTTAAAAAATATATGTGTTCTCCAGTAATTAAGATTTTTCTGTATATATAAAAAATAAAGGTAAAAAAAATCTTAGAAGAATACACCTTAAGACAAATAGACATGCTTAGGAAGATGAATGTGCAACAAATACCTTAGCCTTTAAAAAAATGTAACTGTTAGTTTAAAGAAATCTAATAATTCAGATATTAATTTTGCTCAGCAAATATTGTACTTACAGTCTCCTCAGAAGGGTTAGGATTATGCTTCTCTGGGTGTTTAGTATTTTGATTCATGCTACATTTATTTCTTATATGCAAAACATTGACAATGGCAGGATTAGTCACCCCTGATAAAATTTCAGTAAAGTCTTTATATTTGGACATCATTTAATTTTAAAAGGACAAACCTAAAAACTAAATATTGTATTCACTTTCACATAGTTCCATGTTCTCACGCACCATTAACTTTTAACAATCACAAATATTAGCCAAAGGAGTATTGATGGTTAAAAATGATTTAAGAAACATTAAAAAAGACTCTTGATAGCTTAAACATATAAAATTGTTAAGCCAAAGATATGGTGCAAATAATTTTGTATGTGGTTCAGATAAAGAGGCATAATCATTATTGCTTATTAATATTTAACTCCTTAGCTGAAATAGTGAAGATATAATTATTTTGTAAGGAATGAAATAGCAAGCTATAAAATCACACCTTTCATATAAAATTCCATAATACAACCTTCTGGAGTTCTATCATTGGAATAAAGTAGGTAAATATCAGGATATTTCAAATAACACATGCATTTAGATATTTTTTATAAACTCATGCTCTACATTTATTCAACTCTGGCTCAGTGTTTTAAAAGGAAATAAGAGTAATGCATTCTCTTAAGAACTGACCTAGAAGGGAAGGGTTTTGCTGACTATCTTAAATTTTTTTTTTGTATTTACTTCACTGGAGGTGCAGAGTAGACTAAACATGTTTCTTCACATCATTGTGTGCATATATTTAAGCAAGCTAATGCAGGATGTCGGAAGAAAGGTTGGGCAATCTACTTCCGTAGTGATACTGCCTCCGCAACCCAAGGATGGGTCACTATGAGTCGGGTCCGACTCGATGGCACATAACAACACACAACAACAACAATGCAGGATGTACTCCTTGAGCCTTTAATTGTGTTTGAAAAAGATTTGGAGTTAGTGTGTATATACCAAACTCACTGTCATTGAGTCAGTTCCGACATGTGTCATAGTGCCTGAGGCATTTGACTGCTAATCAGAAGGCTGGCAGTTCAAATCCACCAGTCACTCCTTGGAAGGAACACTGAGCAATCTACTTCCATAGAGATACTGCCTTGGAAGCCCAAGGAGAGGTCGCTGTGAGTCGGAAACAACTCCACAGTAGTGAGTTTGTTTTGGTTTTTGGTTTTAGGCACTCTTACTGGATAGATTGTCATATTTTGATGGGTTAGGAACACTCTGTGTAAGTCTGTGTTATGCTTCCTAGATTCTGGGCCAGCCCTTTCCCTTTTCTTTATGGCCCTCTCTAGCTGACCACAAATAATAGATCTTCCACCTCCCACATCAGAGGGAGCTCTGGTGGTGTAGTGCCTAAGGCATTTGACTGCTAACCAAAAGGTTGGTGGTTGAAACCCACCAACCACTCCTTGGAAGGAAGATTGGGCAATCTACTTCTGCAGAGATACCTCCTCGGAAACCCAAGGAGGGGTCGTTATGAGTTGGAATTGACTCCACAGCAGTGAGTTTGGTTTGATTTGATAATGGGCTTCTAAGGCTGTGAATCTTTACAGAAACAGATTGCCTCATCTTCCACAGAGCAGCTGGTGGGTTTGAACCACCATTTTGGTGAGCAGCCAAATGCTTTAACCACTACAGCACCAGAGTTCCTTAGTGTATATATGTATGTATGTATATATATGAGTATTACTATCTTCTTTTCTGACACCAATTATATGGAATTTTTGTAACCATAAAAGACAACTGTTTGTAAGTTGCTGGAAGAAAGATGTAATTTAAGAGTTGTACAAATTGATTCATGGAAACCATCTTGACCCCAAGATATTTTGAACAGACCTTAACAAATATCATTGATGCAATTAATGTTTAAGAATTAATGTTAGGACAAATGGAAACACTAATCTCATTTGGAAACTGTCTTTGAATCAGGTTGTATAGTAAGAGAAGAGGTCAAGTGCAGGAGGAATGGTTACACCTATAAAGCCATATGTTGTGTGATTTTTAGGCAAATCACTTATTCACTGGGCCTGAGTTTATAATATGCTGTATAATTATAGCACTAGCTGTTCAACTGCCTCATAGTTTGTCACATGAAAGTCCTTATTTCCTTTTGTGCCTTGGTATCCTTTACTCAGTCTTCAAGCTTCGTTTCAGGTGTTACCTCTAGGGTAAGAACTTCTCTGAATTTCCCAGAAAGCTTGGTGTGTTCCTCTGTACTAGCATTTTCGTGATTTAAATATAAACTGTCTGCTTTCCTTTCTAGATTATGAATTATTTCAGATTTGCCTATGGATCTGCAGTGTCCAATGCCTGTGGTGTTTGGTGAATGAAAGAATGGGTAAATGAAGGAATGAATCCATGAATGGAGATGAAAGGAGATAATGAAAGAGTAAAGGTTTTGGAAAATTTAAAGAGCTATACAAGGAAATATAAGATAGTATTATCAATGCTTTTTGTGTGTGTTGGCTTTGCTGAAGAACCTTAACCAGATCCAGGGGGTACCACAACCTGTTCCATGTGGATGTTGTTCTGAATGTCATGTGAAGTTTTCTTTACCTTTTTTTCTGGACAAGAGGCAGAGTAGCATAGGTCTAAAAGCATGGGCTTTGAGGTCAAATTTAGTCAGTTCAAATTCTTACATTGCCACCTACTGCCTGTACGAATTCACTTAATTTTCTTCATTAGAAAAATCAGGATAATAATGCCTACCTCTCAGATGGTTTATGAAAACTAAATAAGATAACATATATTGCATGTATATAATGTAAGTAAGTCATAAATAATTATTAAATAATAATTATTATTTTGATAATGAGTAAATTGACCAATTGCTCAATACCTCACTCATTCACCAATCATATATTTACTGGGTATCTATTATGCACCAGCCACTCCTCAGAAGGAAGGTTGGGCAATCTACTTCTGTAGTGATAATGCCTCGGAAACCCAAAGAGGGGTTGCTTGAGTCGGGTCTGACTTGATGGCACATAACAACAACAACGTTACGTGTTGGACACTGTCTCAAGTGCTATAAATAATGTTAAAAAGACAAATTTTAGAAATGTACATTCATAAATATATACAAATTTACATGGTTCCCTGGTTACAAACATCTGCTCTATTCTTAAAAATCTCCACCCAAACTGATCTTTCTTTTTCTTATGATTTCCTATGTACTTTCATGACATTAAAACTCTTTTTTTTTTTTTTTTCTGGCCCTTAAAGCTCTACTGTTTTAAATTGCTTCTTCATGACTTCAGAGCACGTCCTATTCACTCAAGAAGACAAATTTAACACTTTCATATTTAGATCCATGATCTGTCTCAATTTAGATA